AGTAATAACCATACAGGAGCTATGTCACTGGCCGAGGATTGCTGGAGTGCAACACACTTGGCAACAATCCTTATTATCCGTGACATGGCTCATGAGGAAACCAGTACTGTAACAAGCAAACTCTTACAGCTCATCTAATAATTCCCTTCTGGCTGCCACATTATGTAAGCTCTGCATTGCCTAGGAAAACACATTGAGGTTGGACTGGGGAACTAAGAATCTGATATTCAAAATACATGCTAGCTCTTCCTATTGTACATCAGTAACTTAGTTCTGTCACAAAGCATACTAGTAAATATGGCCTTTAAAGTTTTAAAAGGTAATAAAGCTGATAATACAGATATCACACTGTCTTAGAAAATGTTCTCAGATAATCTTTTTTTTCCTAATTAAAATGAAAACAAGCACAGTCTGAGCAAGAAAAAATTTTAAACTTCACACATACATTATTCCTATTCTCAAGTCCAATCACTGGAGGGTTAGAAAAAATTGGGTTACGGTGAAATTTAAATAAATTTTGATACAGTCAGAGATGGAAAACATGAATAGTGTATCAAAAATGCCCTCGCACAATGACATCATCCAATGACATCATCCACTAGACACATGACTGTTGTATGTTGTGGTCCTAAAAGACATAAACCAATTTTCAAACAGGAAAAGTCACTTTCTCTGGCTACAAGGATTTTTTTCTATCGCCTATTTTCTCTATTATTCCAGACTGAAAATCTGTCAGTTCTTGGACAAAGAGCCAAATTTATACCTAGTGTAAACCAAGGAAACTCTATACTTTTCATTATTTTACGTTGTAATATTCTTCATATAAACTCTGGCTTAAAATACATACACATACTTGTGTTTATCTATTATATATCTCATAATTTAATTAAGTACTTCTGCAACTTCATGTAAAGGTAGTTGAACGTAATCACTGTTCAACAAAATTGACTGAAGCTGTTAATTGCACCTTTATCTACACTGGCTGAATTTGAGCCTGTAATTCTCTACCTCTGGTGACAAAGATTGAAGTGATATAATTTATGCATGGAACAACTATTGCCTGCTCTACATAGTGCAATGTGAAAATGCCAGTAGTGTTGACCACAGCCCTATTTCGACTGCTCCATCAAAAGTAGAATTGTGTTGGTGGTGAATTACAAGGGCTATTTTTCCTAGCCTAGGCAAGACCATGACAATCAGAAATATTGAAGTTGATATTTGATTAACACTGCCAGTACTCTGTAAGTGATTTCTACTCAACAACATCTAATTATTTAACTATTTCCTGTTATTAATGGAATGAAACAATTCAAAACAAACAGCAAGGAGGCTGTTTTGCAGGAAGCTCGTAAACATCAATTCATACATGTAGAAATCCTAAAGTTTTATCAAGTTGGCCTGTTGAATTTGTAAGGCATATTTTATCCCAATCAATGCATAAAGGTAAAATTATCCATAACTAAGGCATGTTTCTCTGCTGTACAGTTCAGCTGTAATGATCCCCACACACTGCACTTGCACATCAATTATGATAATCATAATCACGGTCGTTAAGCTGAATGTTCATTATTATCAGGATGCTGGTGACAGCAGATTCAATCATCGGGTGCAATGGGCAGGCAGTCACAGTCCCACCCAAGTTTCTGCAGACAGCGCTGTGCCACATTAAATCTATGATGTGTTCCACATCCCACTCCATTCCAAGAGCTGTAGACGGTAAAGGTCAACTTTATGTTCTGTGCAATATGCTTAGGTTCTCTAAATTAATTCTTTGCAGTCCTGGGTATTTTTATGCTTTGTAGATAATAAAATCCTGTTTAGGGCCAAAATGCCTGTGCAAATAATGAAACAGTGATTCAGTTGTACTGTAATTCACCCATAATAAGGCATCAGAGGGAAGAATCTATCAGAATGGAACACCTTAAAATATCACTTCCTGAACTTTATAAATAAAAAGCATTAAATGCTGTCATTAAAGTCAGCTTTCTAAAATGCATATGCAAACTAATTCCAATACTGATTAAAGACTGTAAGCTACCATTTCTGCTTCAGTAAATATGAACATATGTGAGTGTTTTGACAACTGGAAGATTATAGTTAGTGTATTTCATCCCTTGACTGTTCAGCTATATTGGAACCTATCACTGTAGTTTAAATTCATGACTGGTAATTTTTTATATTGAAACATCTCACATAAATTCTATCAAAGGCATTTCCATGTATTTAGACATACAATGTAAAACTTAAAATATGCAAGCAATTTCTTTTTTTATAGTAATTTACTGAGTAAACTAACTAGATTCAGTTTCATTAGAGGTATTTTCATTTCTTGTTTATTTGTAATGAACTATTGGAATAGAACAGTTTTTCCCTCAACTCAAACTTCTTTGAAATGTAAACAGAATGTAAACGAATGAGATACAAATTTTCAGATTATAACTAGATGAATAAAAAGAACTATTAACTTTTCTTCACATAGATATGGTAATTATTATGTTTAGAGGAAGTCTGTGCTAATACCCTTTCCTTTTCCAAAGGAAATATAACAAGGCAATATTTTTCAATGTTGTTCATTTTGCTTCTAAAGTAATTATATAATTTACATACTAATCTTTTTGTGACTTGAATTAAAATGCATACTCAAACACACGAAAACCTCAGGAAAATACAGCTAGGACATGCTCATGAACATACACAGGGCCTTTTCACATGAAATTTTTTAAAAAGCCACCTAATATCAGCTAACACCAAATAATACCTCAGCAGCTCAGAGGAGTCACTGATCTTCTACCATTGAACTCGGAAGAACTTACATAGTTTTGACAGCAATAATAAGGGAACCTTGTCTAGCACAAGAGTATCAGAAGCTGAATATGGATCATGGCAGGGTTATCAGCTACACACACTGTAACAGAAGTTGGATGCACAAAACATCACCTCATGGGAAACTCAAAGGAAAGTTCCAGCAAATGGAACCCTCCTTTGTGTTAAGCAAAGTGTTTTAAGTAAAAATCTGGTTTTTTCTAATATTTTGTTACATGCCCTTTAGCCTTGTGATTCATTAGAATAGGATCATTTTGTTCATACCACTGATATATTAAAAGTTTTCACATAGTTTAGAAATAAGAAAACAGAGTTCTATCAAATTTAACAGTTATGAAAGTATGACCTCACACCTGCCTATAGGTCTTTTTCCATTAAATTGCAGTGAGGACGTGGAATTTTCGGTGTTCTTTTTAGTTTTTTCCCTGATAATAATGACCCATTAAAGCAGCAGGTAGGTCATAAATAGCTCTTTTCTCCTCTTATCTCTCTGTTTGGGTAAGCTGCTCCTAATGGAAGTTTCATATTGATTTAGAATTGGGGTTGGAAGGCTGTATGTCATGTTGGGTTAATGTATACAGCTATTCACCTCCAGAGATTTAGGTTGATATCTATCCAAGATCACAAGTAAAGTGAGTTTAGTTCTTTTAGAGAAACCCATAATTTATATATGTGTCACATGATACACAGTATAAATATCTTTACTTTTTTTTATATTGTCATCTGAGCCTGATCAAGATGCTAAGGACTAGAAAAGGAAGTCTTTACAGGACAAGAGGAATATCAGCAATAAGATATTTAGGTCCTTTTTATATATCACACTTATGCTGTAGGACTTCAGCCAATCATATCTTCCACTCATTGCTTTTGAAAGACAAATTCAGATCTTTTTGTTTGAATGTTGACCTCTATGTTTTATATGCAATGGGATATAATTAATGCACATTAAAATACCAAAATTTTACTCTGAGCTCATTTTTAAAGCTTCAAATTTAGAGAAATAATTCCCTAAAAAGATATTCCTTCTCAAAATAAGATTCCTTGGAATTTGCTGGGGCTAAGCTACTTCCAGGGAAACACATAATCGTATCTCACAAAATACCAGAATTGTAGAGATTGGAAGAGACCTCTTGAGATCATCCTCCTACAGGCCCCCTAGTCAGTTAGAGCAGGTTGCCTAGGATTGTGGATATGTCCAAGAACAGAGATTCTGCGACTTCTTTGGGCAACCTGTGCCAGTGCTTTGTCACTCTCACAGAAAAATAAAATTTAAAAAGTGTTTTCTTGTGTTCAGCTGGAATTTCATGCACTTCACTTGTGTCCATTGCCTCTTGTTCTGTCACTGGACACTACTTAGTCTGAAAGAAGCTGGGTTCCCTCTTCTTCTTTCCCTTCTATCAGGTGTTTATACATTTTAATAAGATCTCCCCTGTGCCTTCTCTTTCCAGATTGAAGAGTTTCAGCTGTCTCAGCCTCTCCTCCTACAAAAGATGCTACAGTCCCCTTAACTATCTCAGCAGAGAGTGCAGCACTGAGCCACAAAGTCCATTATGTTTCTTGTACTTGGAAATTTTAATGTGATTATGATACCTAATGCAAATAGGCACAATGCAAAACACTACACAAAGTCACGTTAGAACACGTTCTGAGAAAAATTATCTCTTGCAGCACTACAAAACCAGAAATATATGAGATGCTCCTGATAAAGCAGGCAAATTAATGAGATGATCTTAAAAGAAAAACATCTATTCACTAGTTTCAAGATTTTTTCAAAGATTGTAAGCAGTGAAATACTTTGTTATTTTAGTCTGGTTTTTCCATAATTCCCTGAAGCTTTATCTTAATGTCCAAGAGTAAATACACAATCTCTCTTAAATCATAAAAGGCAATACAAATAGAACAAAATTTAGCAAAACGTACATAACTAAAGCTGTACTTAATCAGGCTCTTAAGTCCTGATCTTGTAGGTAGAACATGGGTTAAATTTCTCAAACTGAACTTGCCAGAAAGTCAAGGAAATCTGACATCTCATCACATCAACTCTGTGTGATTTTATAACATGCTAAAAAGAATCCCATTGGATTCTGTGATCTCTGGATCAGACTCAAATTCACTTAGTTCTAATAAAACAGCCATCTAAAAAAGTAAATAATTCTTTGATTGTTGCAGTAACTTACCTTGTCTGCTATCCATTTCTTGGGATATACTTCTCTGAAATGTTTGGTTCCATAAGCTTCTTGAATATATTTGCCTGACTTACAAAGTGATGGCTCATACTTCTCATCCTCCTTTTTATGATACGAAGAAAATGGTAGGAATCTGAAATTCAAGAATATTTTAAAAATCAGTTATGCTCTTCTCTAGATGCCACAGGATGGATGGAAATAATGGATAACGACACTGTAAGAGGTGACGTGGAGACACATTCCTGCTATTTTTCACTCCCTTCTTAATGTTTCCCCTTGGTATTGTGAGAGGATTACTGCAATTTCTCCTGCGGCCTCTTTCAAGTTCAATTGGGAGCAAAGAGATAGAGAGTTTCAATAGGATAAAATGAAGACTTTCTGTACAAAGATCTAACTTGGTTCACTTGCATTACTAGATTATTATTTTGTATCTGCACTAACAACTGGTGTGATGCGAAGAACAATCAGGGTTCAATTTGCTGGGATCTGCATCTTGATCCCTCAAAACTTAGCAGGCAGTGCCATCTGTGCCAGATGTCAGTGGCAGGCACTCACCATGCACAAGGATAGATACCACTTTTGGAGAACTTGGCATCCACTTTGCAAGTCATGTAGGCTCCCAAAACACAGCCTTAACCTGATCATTCCCGCAGGACAGAAATATTTCAAGCATGACACCAGTATAAGCATAAACAGAGGCATACTTGCATAAAGAATCCTCCCTGTACCTTAAACCAGGTATGCACCTTTTGATACGTGTTAATCAAAGATAAATAAACCATATTTAGCAAAATCTAGCAATTCTAACTTAGAATTTAAAATTTAGCGGAATTCTCTCATTTAGCAGAAACTTTCACATTGTCTGTCACATATTGGCAGACCACAAAGCCAAGAATTCTCAAATCATGTACTTTACTCTTAAGTTATAATTATGTCATAATCAGCAGTCGTTTGGAGCTGGATTCTTTCATCTTTGGTCATACTGATGATGGACTCCCTGCTTATACAGTGCCAGTGAACAGTGAAGCTCCAGCTACCTGCTGGAAGAGGTTTTCAGATGGATGTCCCTAAGTGTCATGGACAACTACAGGTTTTCTGGGTAGGTTCCAGAGCAAACTGCATGAAGCAAGGTGAAAAATGTCTTATATATAAAGGATCTGCAAGACCTGCAAGACACTCTAGAAAGATGTCTTAGTGCCATCTATTTCAGTTTACAAGAGGGTCACAAGAGCAAACAAGCACATTTTACTATAAAGTAAAACACTGTGAATTAAGCTTATTGTTGCTGGTGTTCTGAAAAAAACAATGTGCATTCTTTATTCTAGAAGTGCAGGAAAAAATGTTTTATAGTAAAATTAGACATGTATGCTTCAGAAGTTGAAAATATCATTTTAACTGCCATGACAATGGGTGTAGTTAATTAGAACCTTTCCCCAGCTGAAAATTTTTCAGAATCCAGAGTCCCTGTAATAGTTAGGCAGTCAACCAAGTTCTTGATAAAGATGTGGATTAAAATAACTTTCTTTGTCTCTCAGTTGATACAGATTCAGAAAATTATTTATTTTTACTAATTGATTCATCAGCAACTGTTTGACTGTTTTCTTAAATCACATTTCTTTCTTTGTAGTTCATAAAAAGAAACTATTTAGAATTTTATCAGCTGTATCAATTTATTCTATCAAGTGCCACAAACAAATATCGTGTAAAGTTAGTGAAAGGAAAACACTGAGTTAGCAGACTTTTAAATAATACAAAGCTACAGTACCATGTGTATACCCATGGGAAATGACACCCTCACATAAGACAGATTACGGTACTTGTAATGCTAATTTGCACATGGGATGGACATCACACACACACAAAAATTAATGTGGCCCCAGTGTCCCAGAGAATACATTGAAGGTGCTGTGAGCCGGCTGCTCCACTTGCAGTTTTTATCACTTCTGAATTGCATTTTAATAGTACATTTTTCTTTTGTTCAGACATGAAAGAAAATTGGCTTTCTCAGGGGATTGGATAGCTCAGAAGACAAGGCTTGCAGTTTAGGGATTTGCCCATATATGCATAGAATTTAGTTGAGCCATAGCATTCATAATTTAATATGAAAACCATGTCTGTAAAATTTACACACAAAATGGTAAAAAAATTTGAGGAAAGTAGAAGTAAGTTATTATATTTTTCTCTACAAAATTTTCTACATAGAGGTTTTGATTTTACTGTGGATCAGTTAATCTTTTTCTTTTTGGCAAACAAATACTCAGAGTAATATATGTTCTACTATGATTCTGAACAAAAAAATACACATATTTGAGCACTTTGAGATAAAAGTAACAGTATGTTCTACACTTATTTTAGCACAAAAGCGCCCTTTTGCATTCTTTTGCATATCTCCTCTAAGATCATTAACTGGAATATGTCCCACACAGCCTGGAATGTATGTCTGTGGCTGAGTTAAAAAAAAAAAAAAAATTGAAGGAATTAAAGGAAGGACACTGAATAATAAAAAAATATTAAAATTTACATTTAAAAACCCATTAAAAATATCATAGGGTGTAATGGTATCAAGTAGAAGCTTTTTCTTCTGTTTATAATTCTGCTGTCAGTCAGGTGGGAAGATCCTTATAGCAATAATGCTCTAACTACAAGAAAGGATCATATGCTTGTAAATTCAATGTCTGTTTAAAGTAAGTGAGAATTTTCATTACTTTATGTGAATAATTAATTTTAAAAATTTAATTTTTCATGTTAAGCAGGGTAACCAAATTAATGGGAGTCATACAAAAGTCATTATACCCCCACAACCAATAAAAATAGTAAAAAGTAATAGCACTGCAAAACACTTCAATAATGGTATTATGTTCTCTTGCTCTGTGTATAAACCTGACACAGCTTTTCTCAAAATTAATGACAGTATGTGCTCTGAGTGTGACAGAAGAGAGTGATGGAAGAAGAAGAAAATTAAATCCAGACAATGTTATGATACCGTTATCAACTGCACAATTTTAGATTTCAATAGTTTCCTTTCCTACAAAAGTTCACTCATTTTTCCTTCATTTGGGTTTCAGCTTTTCCCTGTGATTTAGGTGAAAATTCAGAAATTTTTACAGATTTTCATTACACATGACAGAGACAGAAGTAGCAGGATTGAAGAAAAATTAAATTCCACACTGATATTTCATCATGCCATAAAACATAGTCAGTATAAGCTGAGCCTTCCCGAAAATGATGATTCAGTGGGAGGTGAACTTTCCCTGGAGAAATAAATAAAAAAATTAAAAATTATTTTATTTTTAAATACCACAACAGCTTGAATGAGATATATGCCAAAGAATACATTCAAAACAAGGGGAAAGAGTTGGAACCAAAAAAGGGAAACTATCTCAGGTTCTACAAATTGCAGTATTACACATGCATAACCTGAAGGAGGAGGACCAGGACCAAGGCTGGCAGTGTCACTGGTAATGAAGACCAGCTGCACTGTTGCCAGGATCACACTACACTGAACCTAATTAGCGTAAAAAGATCTAGAAGCCTTCACTTAGTAGCCAACTGAGGACCTGACAGCTGCTAGCCATGTGTATTTGGATTTCAAAGACACCCTCCATATTTGTTGTTAACAAAACCAAAAATTGCTTTATCTCTCCCTTCACTAATCCTATCCTGCACCTTCCTTCTACTATTAATTTCATCTTTCTAATCCTTTTTCCCCCCAACACGTTTACATGCCTCCTTCCGTGATTTTTCTCCCTGCATTCCTCACCTACCATTTCCTCCCTCTATTCTGTCTCTTTTATTGCAATCTCTCTTACTATTGTGACAGGAGATGGAAGAGGCCTGTTTGACACTGAAGGCTTTCCAGTTGGATTGACAGAGATGACAGAAGCAGCAGCAGGTACCAGTTTCCAGAGTCTACAGCAATGTGAGAGGAGAGCACAGCAGCACAAACAGGGAGGAGGATTTGTCAGGTACATCCTTTACTTCTGGGCAGCAGTGTCTCAGTGCTACACGGTACTGACCAGTGGGACACAGTACAGAGGCAGTAACTTTTTCCTGAATTTAAAGGGCAGTAAAAAAACAGAGTGGTCCTTCAGCATGTTCTCTGAACCTGCCCAAGAGACAAAATCCCAGCAGTCTAGCAGTGCAAGCATGTAATCCTGTTTCCAGAAATGCTTCAAAACATACCCAGGCTTCTGAGGAAGAACTGTCAGATTCACTGCTAGACTGCCACATATGCTACACTACCAGGGCACAGTAAGAAATATAAAACCCTGAATACAGCTTATGTGTTTTTTAAAACTTTCACATTTGTTGGTATTGTACATTTTTATAATTTAGTAGTAAAAATACTACTGTGACAGTGTTTTTAAATTTTTATCTAAAGTGTTTCTACACAATAGCAATTCAATTCCTTGTTGTCTTGATTTAATTCAAATAAAGCAATTTTATCTTGCTTTAAAGAACTCCATGAACAATTAGCTCCAAACAAACCATGTTTCTCTATCAGGAATCTGAGAATACTTTATCTTTCTTTCTTTCTTTCATAAAATATGAAATTAATTTTAAGCTTTCAAATTTGCTTTATACCTGAAGCAATTTTTTCATCAAATCCAACAGTGTCTATCTTTTCACTCAGGGAACAAAGAAAGAAGCATAATGATTTTCCATAGCAAAACAATTGCAGCAAGGCAGCCATTATTTAGTTTATAATGAGTGCATATTAAAATCAAAGTGTTAGATACAAAAACAAAGACAGAACATTTTACTTGACATACCTAGTCACATTATCTTTAGGGCACTCTTTTTGCCATACGAAACTTACTTGGGTGCATTACTACAAATACTGTTTCTGGTAATATACTAAATACATACTTTTTCAATAAACTATCAATCACTTTTATTGTAACATCAGTAAATCTAAGAATCCTCTGGTTGTTTTTATTTAACCCCTGGCTGTGATAATGTAAAGTGGAAAATAAAAGCATAGTCTAGTTCTTCCAGGAAGTAAAAGAGATCTCTTCTGCAGCAAATTCTGGAACTTCTTAATTATACGCAGACTTATTATCTGCATCCCCAGTGTTATAAAGTACCAGAACTTCATTAGAAAAATTAAGATGGAAAAATGAAGGCGCTACTTTGTAAATTTCCAGTGGAAATTAGCTGGAAGAAGCAGAGGAATACTGGATCAAAAGAGGGTAATCATGCTTAACTGTGCCCTAGAGCACCCGCATGTATAATACGATTTGCACAGTAACTACCTCTCCTATTACTGCTTGTTTGGAGTATTCTGTGTTAATGGGGTTAGCTAATTTAGTATTTTAACTTAAAAAGACTCTGCTGATTAATAAATGTTGCACACTGTGCTAGTAATTAAAATAAATGGAAGAGTTACAAATAGAAGTTGAATTGTTAAGAAAACATTATCTGAAAATATATGATAATCCCTGTTTATCATAATACAATAACAGTCCGGAAAATATGCAAATTGCTGAAGTTGCAAAGCATATGAAAAGCTAAGTATAATTTGAAAAAAGTTTTCAGATGTGTTGTATTTGTATGACATAAAATGTAGTAGCCATTTTCACTGCAGCTATGTCAGAAATACAGTAAAAGATTTTATAACTCTAGAAATTAAAAGACTTTTTGAATTCCTAAATCTTAAAGTCACTTGCTTTTTAAATTTTCTTACCATTAATACCAGGCAGCTTATAACACTGTAACACTGTCGCTCTCCAAGTACAGAGCTTATTTAGTTCACTAATTTCCCTGTAAATACCTTTCATGCACAGCACTGAGTAGCACAGAGGTACCTAAGCTGCTTCTAAAGGAAAGCAGAGTCTTGCTGAGAATAAGCCCATGAGGAGCTTGGTGATGCAATATTCACCTGGTATGTGAGAGGGAGGGTGTGCAAACATTGCACTCTGCTGCACACGAGTGAACCAGTGCTCAGGACTAGGTTCTGTATCTCCAGTACAGCACTGAGCACGGCTATAGCCAGAAGCTGAGATGACGTGCCTCACGTCACACCAGAAGACTACAATAAATCAGGAAACCTAGGCCTTGCACTATTGCTATCACCACACTGCATCTCATTCTGATGTTTGTTGACTTCATAAAGATGTTTAATAGTATACTTTGAAGCATGAGGCATATTACATGAGACAGATTTCCGTAAAGTTAATGAAAATAATTTACATTTTTGTTCTCTGGAAAATTAGGCCAGCATGCAGCTGCACGCAACTGAGTAAAGAACTTTTCATGCTTAGTGATCTAAATCTGCTGGATCCAGCAGTTGGTGTCTCAAACTAGACACTAGTTTATTAAGTGGCCATCCCGAAGGAGTACAATTGTCATTCCTATCCAAGTGGAGGGGGAAATCACTTCATTTGTATGAAAAATAGCACAATAAGGCAGTAGCAGCTTCAATTACACGAGAAAAAGGAATCATTCTTATTAGGCTAGATTACCCCGTTGCTCTTTCATTACAGAATAGGAAATTCCAGCAGTTGCTTTATGTAAGCATAGCATTCTCTCTTGGTTTCGTTTGTACTGCTTCTGCCTGCCTCAAACTCACAGCTTTTCCAAATTTTTCTGCATTTTATCGGAAGGAAGAAGTTTCTCAGAGCTTGCGACACTCATCCTATCATCCTATAAAAAAGCACTTTAAAGAACTCTGATAATCAGAGGTGTGTGGGAATTCTGAATGTTGTTGAAATCGCAGATACACATCAACAAGCATTCTGGCAATATTCACTCTGGAAATATATGTATCAAGGATTTAGTTTGTCATTTCATGCAAACACAAGCTTTCTCAACAAATGCCACGTACTTTTGCTGCTCATTCTCTCCTTATTTTCTAAAATAGAAGAATAATCAGCATAGGAAGCAGTACCAGGAAGAAATAAAGTCCCAAAGTACACAATTACATAGAAAAAGACAGAAATTTGTCAATTCATAATAGACAGTGCTGAGAAAAAAATACTGAGGAATCTGAGTAACCCTTTGCTGACTCCTCCCTGGAGACCAACATCCCACACAGCAGCTGCAGCATTACTAGTGAGCATTAGTCCTGATGATGACCTGCAACTCTGTCATCACCTTTTCAAGGTTACAGATGTGACCCTTGCATGGTTGGTTGAATATGAAGCACAAACGGAAAGATCACAGCCTGAAAATGTATAATACACTATGCATTTAGTGTGCATGAAGCTGAGAATCATTGATTGTTAGGACATTGCTTCTGTGCATTAAGGATGGCATTAAATGCTTCCTTACCCATAAGGTAAATAAAGATCACATATCATGTAAAATCTGTCAAAGTTGGAGGCTCCAAATTTAAACTGTACAAGACCAAAGCTTCACAATTCACTTACTGAAGAGTCAGTGAAGTATTTATTAAAAGATCTGACCTCCTGAAACTGTTGACACAGTGATGTCTGGGGTAAACTTCATCAAATAGAGACTGGGCAATATAGTCATGCTTACAAATGGAGGACATCATCCATCCTCCCTTGGAATGCATAAGTCAAAACTTATTCAGTGAGAAAAACCCACTTCAAATGAGAACATTACTTACTACCTAGTGGTTAGAGTTCTTTTAAATTTCACTGGCAGGAGCTAGATATAAAAATGAAAAAAAAAAAAAAAAAAAAAGAACAGATTTAAGTCGAGATGTGAAAGTTAAACTGCTTCCTCCTCACCCAAGTGAAAAGAATGAACCAAGACAGAGAGGAATAGAAAAAGGAAGGTACACTTTTACTTGTAAGTGAACTCAGTTATGGTTTTGGTATGAAAGGAATAAAAAGTGTTATAGCTAAGTTTTGACACCAAATATTGAAAAAAACCCCAAAATGCCACAAACAAAAAACATTGCCTGAAAGTGAAAAAGTAGCCAAATCAAGACATTTTTTTCCTTTCAAAACTATTTTTGAGCAGAATTTTCATTCAAAGACACTAATAATATTAAATTGGGGAAAAATATGGTCCAATAAAAACACAGAAGGTAAACCATGTAAATGCAATTGTTTCTGGCATTCTTAAGTTCCAGTCCTGAAGCTGACACTTAGCAATATGGAGCTGACAAAAAAGCATGAAACAGATCAAAGACCGCAAAGCATCTTGTGTCAGTGAATCAGTGGATCACAGGCTGTTCATGAGGAAAAGTGGTTCCTTTCTGTCCTGAATTCTGGTATTAAAGGGCCAAAGGATTGCCAAGAGCAGTGAATTCAAAGGAAAAGTTGACAAAACGTAATTTCTTAACTACAAAGCCAGAAAAGATGCTTTAGCAGGCTTTTATTATGATTGGACAAAGAGTTCCATCACAATTAAAGAAAACTGGAAATATTTTGGCAATAGCCTTTAGTCTTTTGGGATAGAAGCCTTGGATTATGTCTGTATTTGGGATTTTTATGGAAAAGAACTGGCCTGTCTGACACTATTACAGATGCTATGACTTAGGAAATCAAACTGCTTCAAAGATGATTACAGCACTTGTATCATGTTCTAACATGTGCGACATATGTTCCCTCCCCTTCCAAGTGAGCTGGGGTACTCTACTGGGAGAGAAAACAAGTCTCATTGGCATGCAACACCATTTTTGCCTCCCATAACCACTAAGCTTCCTGAATACGGAGACTGAAACGGTATCTTTTCCTTGGCAAGGTGCATGTGGCAAAACAGAATTTGCATTTGTTTTCTTATTTCCCATTAAACGCATCTGTTGCATCACATATTACTATACAAGTTCTTCTATAGATTCATAGATATGGATGGCACATGTCACACAATTACAAGATAGGGTCTCTGCCCTAAGCAGTTTATAATCTAAGGACACAGAATTTAGAAGCATGTACATAGAATGTTTGCTAGTAAGCTGTCAGGTTTGACATTTCATTTTGTCAGGCATGAAAGATTTCTGAAAGCAATGGAATAAAGAAAACATTCTCATAACAATATAAGAAAAAAACAAAGAACTCACTCATTGTCATGTATAGGATTTCTCCATTCCTCCCTTTTTATTCCCTCTCTGGCCTTCTCCAGTGGTGAATTGATTGATTCTGCCACTCGCAAGGTTGGTTCTAAAGGCTTGTAGCGCTGCCACAATACTTCAGCGGTATCGCGGAAAGGCCCCTGAAAGGTGTAGGATAATGTAAGTGTTTTATTGTGGGCTTACAGTTCTTTTCTTTCTGTCTTTTATTCATGGCACATCACTGATGAAAGAGGACACAGAATGTCTGGGAAGTGTAGTGAGACTTTTCTTCTAAAATAATTAAAGCAGTTCATTTTGATAGAGACTTACACATAACACAAAGGTTGATAACATACTCTGAAGCTCCAAAGAGATAATGAGAAATGTGCACTACAAATTTATTTAACTACTAATAAACATTTATTATTTTTAAAAAATATGTTGTTAGAATTGATTAGGAAAACTTAGTTTTTTCTTAGGAAAAATATCAGTGAAATAAAATCTGATACACAAGTATTAGCTGTATCTAGATTCTGCTTAAGCAGATAGGTTAAGTCTTTTTCTTTCCACAGTACAAATAATATTTGACCTTAAAGAACATGCTCTTTTCAATTTAACTATAAAGCTACCTGTAAGGGAACTTAATACATGACTTAAGATATAATTCTTCTAATACAGTTCAGACTAATGACTTCAATAATACAGGTCTATAGTCCATTTTTGAAAAGTCCAATCCCAAATTAATTTCATTATTCTTAAAAAATACACATATATGTCTTTTTCCAGAGTGTATTGTTTAATAACTGATTATATCAGCATCTGCCATTTAACAACATGGATAAATAGCAGCAGGAAGTCCTCTCCTGCGCTGCTGAAATGACATATCCTATATATCTTGCTTTTATGTATTAACCTGTAAGAACTTACCTGAAGTATAATTAGTGCCACGTTACACTCAGGACAGTTTAGTGGCAACCCTGGATTTAGAAGTATTACTAATTAATTTTTATTTTCATCATTGTTGATCTTGCAATGAACTAGTGAAACCTTCTGAAACTATGAACAGACAAAGAATCCTAATCACAGCCTTTATTCTTAAAGATATCCTTCTTTAAATAGGTTATCACTAACAAGTCACAGCTGGAGTTACTGCAAGCACTGAGTGAAGACTGTGGGGCTAATAAAAAGAAATGATTCACGCCTCATTTATGTTCACTTATGTTTTACATTAATAGAAACCAATAATAGGAACCAGTTACCATAAAAGTCATGGACCGTAAATAACACAAATGGCAAATAAGTATCATCTAGTACTTTTCACAGCTGGACAGGAGGATTGCTATATTTGAAAGTAGTTAATGGATTTTTATTGGAACTTTACTTTTTAAAGGCACAGCACCAAGATCTTGAGATCTTATAAAAGGTCCCAGTAAGAAAATAAACATAATATTTACACTTCCGGCAGATATCCTCTTGTTTCTGCTTGCTAAGTCTGGGTGAAAAAATACATTCATTTAAAAAGAAAACAATAAGTCTTTAAAAACAGAATGAAAAGTGTTACCTCCTGTGAGAATAGTCAATACTAGAACAGGTCACTAAATCTAGTAGTAGCATTACCTAGTAATACATAATCTGATGATCAAGTTATAAAAAAGTCTAAAATTTATTATTAAAAAGGAATGCTCTTTATTGGAAGATGTTTGCATTAAGTGGGCATACAGAGGAAAGAAGAAAGAAAAGTACTATTATCAAACAATATCAAGATAAATATGTTTGCTTTTAAATTAGTCTTTCAGAATATTGCATCTTTTCTTCACTGCAAAATATTTACTCATATTCCACCAGGATAAGGGCCAAATCAGATATCCAAGCAAAGGCTTTTCTCCATCTTTAATTTCTAAGACCTAATTAGGGGTTAGATGAAAAAAACCCAAACATCAGTCCATAGTTCAAGTAAAACTACAACTACTAATGGAAGGAGGGGGGAAAGACTGTAATTAAGAAAAGGTCCCTCAAACAAAGCTGTGTCATCACTAATGAAAGCAGGGTATACATATATTAGAATACTGACATAATTCTAAACATTCCCTGCACAATTATCCATTTCTCTGATTCATCTATTTGAAGAAACTCACCTAGCAATAGGCACCTAAGGAATGTATCTTAAATTACAAGACCTCTAAAAAATCCATTTACCTATTTTCATTTTACAAGATTAACTTTAGGATTTGTGGAAGCTGCAGCAGAATAGTGCTTAAAAATGTTTTCAAATTGACAATGCTTGCAAGCATTTCAGGCATCTTGCTTCAAAATGGAAATCTTCCTGGGGAGATCACGGCAGGAAAGGAAGGAAAGGAGGCAACCAACAGTTTTCACCCTGAAAGCAACTCACACAGCTCTATTTGGAATTTGTGCTGAGTAGCATAAATCTTCTTGATAGCAATTGGTCTGCCAAATAAAGGTTAGCAGATCAGCATTCTTACTACTTTATCATAAAATCAGAAACTCGTGATAAAAATATCATCTTCATGAAATTATGCATTCTTCATTGTTCTCCATTGCAGAACACCTAATAGCATGCAAAAAATCTCTTAAAAATGGTAATGTGCTTTTTGTTATTAATGCTTTTTAATGAATATATGACTAATTTTAGCATTATCAGTGTTTCTACAAAACTGCAATTCTAGTGAACTCAGTAATAAAAATGATAGATCTAACCGAGCTATAAGCATCATTAAAACATTTCTTTTAAATACACTTACACGCACAGAGCTTACCTATAAAATGCTACATAGCCATTTCCCTAAGAGAAAACTGAAAGACAGTTTATTTTTTTTTAAACACATGTAATTGACATCCTCATAAAAAATATCAAAACATATGAGCAATAAAAATTTTAGATACCTGAAAGAAAGTAACTTGTGACTCAGAGTGAGCCAGATTGATATTAGAAAAAGAAGCTTGGTGCCAAAAAGTGTTACCACAGAGAACTAGGACACAAGTATATCTAGTAATTAAATTTCCTATTGTCACACCAGACAACTTTCAGGATGGTGTGTTCTGATGCGTTTTCGTTTCCAGCTGTTTCATCAGCTCAAACCAGTGTCCTTTTCTTAGACATACAACCCTAAATTGTCAAAGTGTTGTGCAGGGATTTAGCCGTGTGACTCCCATTAACATCAATAAGAGTCGCGCAGCTAAATCCACGCGCTGTGCTTTGAAAATTTACCCCACAGTGTACATCCCAGGGTGCTGAAAGGATTAAAGTATTATATAGTAAATTCCCTCTTTGAGGTGTAGAAAATAAACAGAACTCTTCTGGTTTGTTCTAAAAGGCTATCTGTGCAAGACTGCTGTGCGTGAGTCTGAACTTAGAAAGGTCTGTAAAATATTCCAAATCTGTACAGAAGCTTGTAAGAAACTTTGTACACAGTAAAGTGGTTTTGCAAGAGCACCTTAACAATGGAAAACTCTTGAGTTACCCAGTTATTTAAAAGCATGATTCCTGTATCATGCCCACTAGGCAAAATCTTTCCCTCTGTCCTGAGAGACAATGTATTCAGTCATGTCCTGCTCAAGGACTGTCACAGCCCCTTTGGTCCCAGACGGTAAAGCTATAATGTCATTTTTATCTCAACTCCAAACTCCCTGATCACCCAAACTGCTTAGTGGCTCACACTTTGTCTCAATTCTAAAGTGACTCAATGAGTTCATTCTATGAAGAAGCTCAAGCAGTCAAAGTAGGGAGAACAAAAGGAGGGAAGGACAAAGGTGGAGAACTGCTCTTAAGTTGATTCTTACTTTATAAGCAGTGTGGATTATGTGCAGCTCATACTTCTCCAGAGGTATTCTCACAGGCCTGCATCTTCTTAGAATCACAGAATCATAAAGATTGGAAAAGACCTTCAAGATCATTGAGTCCAGCTTTGACTGAACACCACCTTATCAACTAAACCGTAACATTAAGTGCCACATCCACTCATTTCTTGAGCACTTTCAGGGATGGGTGACTCCATCACCTCTTTGGGTAGCCCATTCCAATGCCTGACTACCCTTTCAGTGAAAAACTTCTTCCTGATGCACCACCTGAACCTCCCCTGGCGCAGTTTGAGGCTATGCTCCTTTTGTCTTGTCACTACTTGCCTGAGGAGCATAAAGGTTTGTCTGCTGTGTATATTGGGCACATTCCCAGCAGATTTTGATAATAAGGTGACAAAAGCTGTTTTGTCAACTTGTGAGACATTCCCTTTGATGCACTCTCTCAGAGATGTCCACTACTTTATAGAATAGGAAAAAAGAGCTATCTGCAACTAAAATTAAAATTGAGACCATGGCATGCAGGCTGGGCAACTCGTCTGTGATGCAGAACAAAATGTAGAAATTTTTGTAATTAAAGCTGACACACACTTAGTGGACAAAAAGAGCAGGAACTATTTTGAACTGAGAGCGCCTCTCTTAGTCTTCTTAAGGAAAACAATTGCAAACTGAGGAAAAATTTATTGCAACTGGGCAATTTGTCCTATAACCTTTTGTTTCTCCTATTTTTTAATGATGTAAAATTGGAAATTATGATTTCTAACTCTAATTAATCATAATATTTATACTCAATTATATGAGGTCATACCTTTGAAATATTGGGAATTACACTTTTTTCCCCAAAGGACAAAAGCAACATCTAAAGAATCATATTTCCCTGTTTTTAAATATCACATAGATTTCTTTTTAAGTCAAATCTCTGTCAAAGACTTTATATCCTACACGAAAGCACTAGACCTATATAAAAAAAAAAAAGGAAAAAAAAAATCCGCAAAAGGGATTTTTGGACCTGATGATTTAACTTGAGATAATCTATGATAAAAGATGTAAAAAAAACCTGCCTCAGAGACACCGAAAAATGTTACCTGAGGTTTCTGTCTGCCAATAGGTGGCAGAGGCAGTGCTGCGACGAAAGCTGGGGGCTTTTTGCAAGTTGGCCAGTCATAGAGTTCATAGGCAAAGGGACTCTTTACTTGCTTCTTTCTGTGGCTCAGTGGCTTTGAATTTCTTAGCAGCAGTTCCATTGGGTCTGGGGATTTTCTGAATGGTGAATTGTAGATGCCTGCAATCTGAGTAGAAGATGGGGTTACCGTTGATTTCAGCTTATTTAGATTTGAATACACAATAGGAACAAAAATAGGCAGTGGCAGCTGCAGCATTTTTAAAAGTAAAACAGTCATTACTTAAGGAGAAATAGAAGAAAATTTATGGAATACCAAAATTCAATATTTGTTTTTTTCCCCAACAATATGTCCACAATAAATTCCTATAACTATTCAAATTTGTTGTAAAACCCCAAAATTTATCATAAGAATTTCTGAATTGTGAATTAAATGGAAAGATTCATTCTTTACTGAATTTGATATTTCATTTTTTTCAGGATACATCATTAATTGAATCACTAGTGTGATCTAATACAACAATGACTAATACGAAGCACACATTTCAAATTCTGATCTAGTAATCTACATCATTAACAATCTGTGAATATCTGGCAAGTCAAAATTATGTGACAGACTGTTCCCAAATCATTCCTATAAATGCAGGTATTTTATCAGTTGTATATAAACAATTCCCAAATAGACATATGTGAGTTTACTAAATTAATTATGAACTGTTAAACATGAGAATTCCTATTCCATATTGCACAAAGCCACTAAATCTTCTATAAACAGACAACATATGCTTAAAATACACCTGGCAAAAAGTAATTAAAAGATACTAGTTGCTTTAAGAATAATTATATTTTCTACAACAGTATATTCAGAGTATTCTTAAGACTTTTAAAGTAGATTTTCTCAGTTAAAATATATTATCCTTTGTTTTTATCCTAATTCTAAATGCTAAGAAATATTGAATAAAAACAGGGAAAAGAAATTGCTTTCATGATGCAGGAAAAGTTAAGGAAAAGAGTAAATGTTTAAAATCTTGTATTGCTCCTTTGGAACGCTACAGAGGACCCATGAGAAAACTATGTAGGGCGTCAGCCTCCTCATAAAGTATTAATCTCTTGGGGCTGAGAAGATTGAACACTTCCCAATTAGCTTTAATGCATTTTTCATTAATATATCCTACTGGGAAGCTCCAGTTTCTTGTGTCAAAACAGTTAAATAAGGCATATATGAAACATAGTGTTTAATGCACTAGAATATTCAGAGACGGTAGCTTATTCAAAATACTGTTGCGCTATTCAAAATTTTATGGGCTATATTCTTCAACTCTGTAAGTGATCTGGCTCTAATGACAGTTTATTTTGGTCCTCTGTTGTATGTTCCCATCTTAGTGCAAACCCTACAAACTATTATACTAATGGTCTAAATGTATAATGGGAAAGAGGACATGAATAGAGATAAGTGGTAGAAACATATGTATGCCAAGCACCCACTGGTTGTTCATTCAGCTCTCCAGGATGCCAAACTAAAATGGCAGGGATCCATGCTTCAAACAGCAGACAAGCAGAATCACTGAGTGAATGTGAAATTGCAGGTCCATCTGTCTGATCTGTAAAGTCCAGCTGCATCTTAATCTTGGTTCTGCAAGTCTGGCTCTTACTCACATAAACATCCTATAAAGTTACAGATCCTCCTAATGCTGCTATTATATTTTCAGTAGTTCATACACCATCAAACTGCAATCTTCTTATCAGCCTAGTACTGGGTTTTGCTTGTGAACACTTGGTGACTCGTAAGTGCTACATAAACACAAGTTCCATATGTTGTCTTGACTTTATTGTACCATCCCACAGTTATTGAAAATATTTACACTATATACTTGTTACACAAGTTCTCTCAAATATAAAATGCCACAGCCAATACAAGTTTCATACAAACAGAATATGTATTAGATTCATACCAAACAAATTCCATGCTGAAGTTACACAAACCATCTTATGCCATGGTCACTACATCCCTTCACTCATTAGTCCCACCATGGCCATTGGATCTGCCTACATTCTGACAACGTCACTGAAAATGTAAACATTATCCAGAAGAAAAACATCTCCATGTGCATAACTGAGAATCAGGGTGATCTGTAACACACCACTATGGCATGGTAATGAGTCTTTGGAGCTGGCAGGTATGAGTTTGTTGATCAGTAGCATATCTTGAGCAGGGCTGAATCTGCTCAAAATTGTACACCCTTTTTTAAGCTGATGAGCAAACTGAGGAGGAAGCCTTTTCATTTTTTTTTAACCAAAAAAATACTAGATTATTTAATCTACTTAGCTCAGGGTTTTTTGGTTTTGTTTCTCCTAGGTGGAAAAATACAACATCTTAAATAATTTAAATGTTTTTCCTCTGAAGAATTACATGCAATAACTTTAAATTGATGCGTTGTCTGGGCCCTAGGAAATGGTGTTGCTTCTTTTAGTCACATTGAAAGCTAGTATATGTCTCCATGAACACAAGGGCTTTCTGAAACTGCATTTTAAAATCTATGTTGAGATACTGTGTATATTCTACTTTGTGTTCCTCTGATTAAATGTTTGGCAGTAATAAAAAGCTATAGTTCATAAAAGGTTCAAACACTGTGAAATGCTACTGAATATCTCAAGATGCACTAATAGGATTGGCTTTTACCATTTTTAATGAAACCAAAATTAGCTATAATAGATGCAGAAATCCATTGATTCAATGTCTTTTGACTTATTATTGCTGAAAAGGTGACTTAACCAAGAATCATCTATTGTTGCTCTTTTTTTAACTACTGTCAGATTAAACACATATAGACAGTGTATCAACTTTAAAAATGAATTTGGAGTTTAGTGAGGCTAGCTGGAAACATTCTTGCTTCTTCTACAGTTGAAACTGCAAGATATGGGTCAAAATTGATTATGAAGCACATCTTTAAATAATAATTTTTCAAGCAATCCTTGACAATTATTTTACATTTCAATTTTATATGTTTAAGTATTCAACAAGACAGCAGAGCAATCAGCAGAGTTAGTATCTAGACAGATAAAATTAATACTAATTTACTTTAAATTCCCCAAGGTTTGTGGTAAGGGTAGGCCTAAATGTAAAATTTGCCAAGTTTGGTAGGAGAGACAAAAGGAGGAGTTGGATTCTACTTTCCAGCTCAGATTAACCTCTGGAAAAATTGCTTCCACTAAAATATCTCTGCAAATCTTAACCTTAATTTTGGAATTTCTTGCACCTGTGCAGTGTGGTGATGAATGCCCTATTCACTCTATCCTCTGCAGGGAGCTGGCAGTCTGAAGAAATCTAAGAATCTGGAGGATCAAAGCTTTTGGTACTTAATACATCTGCATATCTTCTAGAGACAAGTGCAATGTATGAAAAGGATTACTTAACTTTTTCCCTACTTTAATGCAATATTCTCTCAACTACAAAACCATTGTACTTAATACTGCTTTTTTTCAGTGGTAGAAAAGTATCTGTCTTGAGATATTACCTCAAAATATGATTTCAATACTTTCCCACCTTTAGTTAATAAGAAAATACGCATAACCCTCCAAAATATTATCACAGATTACAAAAAGTACCTCTTGTCTCAGGGAGGATGACATTTTTCTGTACCATGCTCTTCAACACTCAGAAGGGACTCTGTCAAAGCCAGCTTTTGGGATACCATTTCTAGGAACAATTTTCTAAAGTGACAAACGCTATGGGGAAATCTGTGCTAACTGTTAAAAAACTTACAACCGACTTATTTGCAGTACTGTCTTGCTAACTTCTACCTCAGTAAGACCAAAGACATCTCAGGAGGGGACTCTGTTAATAGCTTCTTCCTGACCTCCTTGCATCAGGCCCTTCTGGTGAATGGTGGCCCAGTGGTGAATATGGCAAATGAGGTGTGAAAGCAAAGATATTTTTTTTTTAAGACTGCAGTTCTGACTCGTCAGGGAAAATATTAATAATAAAAAAAATTAAAAAAAAAAAAAAAGATAGAGAGAAATGAGTTACACAATAGATATATTTTCCCCTAGAATTCTCTGCCTCAGACCTTCCATCATGGAAACCCAAGCATGACCTGGAATATTAATTGTGTCAGGTCAAGCATACTGGCAAATGTACCATTTGTTACCCAGTCATCCTTAGCATTACATTAATATTTTGAATCATTTTGCATTTCTAACACTCTATCATTTAGTTTCCTCCCAATCATTTTCTTATCTTTATAATTATTAGTCATGTATAAAGAAAGAAAAAAATCATAAGAAAACAAATATTATTTTAATGAACATTGGCAAAGAAAAGATTTGGGGTTTTTTTATAGTCTGTATTGCTTCCACCTCTAATCCTGTATTTACCCCATGCTACAGAATATCCACTTTTGTCTTTTCATGTTTATCATTTCAATACAGAGAGAAAGGCTTAACTGTCTTTCTGTCTAAATTAATTTTATTTTCCAGAATACAAGAAAGAAATTATTATGGAGTTGCCTTGAAAGTTAAACTATAAGGTTAGACAGTAGCAGAAGAAATATAAAGAAGGAAGGAAGAAAGGAAAAAAGGTGCAGGTAGAAAGAGAAAGACAAGGATGTGTTATTTACTCTGAACAGTTCCTCAGAAAAGATAGGTGACCCTAAATGGTATGATGAAACCTGAACAGGTTAGATTCTGCAATTTTCGTAATGAATTAATTATTTCTTATTCTTCTTTCTTACTTCTTGACTGAGCTTTTAAAAAAATCACAAACAAAATATGTTCGAAGATGCGGCATAGCTACTATGCTGCAAATAATTACGCATATGAAAAATTAAAAATTGATGAAGTTGAGTTGAAGATAAATTGTAAGCATTAAGTCAATAGAAAGTGTTTTCTCATATATTTAAATAATTTTATTGTAATTTAACTAAACAATAATAAAGATATACTCTATTTTAATTACTTTTCCATATCAACTCTGAAAAAAGGAAATAACCAACTTATATTCCAAATACAAATGTTTCGTGTAACAATCATTTACTCTCGAAAAAAATAGTTTTGAGGTAGACAGCCTGTGAAAGTGATTGTCACAGTAAGAACCTAAATAAAGGCCCAGTTTCTCACTCTGGTCTTTTAATGAGGAATTAAATGAGAAGGAAAAGACTTCCATAAATAGGG